AGGCACAAGCAATGCTGTGCTATGCTTTGGTAGTTAATTAAATATTGTCCTTTTCATTTGTCCTCTAACTGTAGGAACAATGTAGGAAGAGTCTGTGCTATACTTTAAAGCTGTTTGCTGTCAGACATGATTTAACTGCTAACTCAACTAAAAGAAAACCTCTTGCTGAAGATCAGTTGAACGTGAAAACTCCTGTGGCGATACCAATTCTCTTTATCATTCATGTGGTTCTGACAACGATGTGTTTAAAGTATTCTAAGGGACTCTTGTTTGGATAAATGCTTTTCAAGTATGTATTGACTTCTTATTTTAAGGAATGAAAGTGCCAGCAAATATATGTACAGGAGGCGTTTGCTATTGTCCGTCTGATAGAAGAATGAATCACTTCTTGGTAGACAAGTAAAAAACACAACCTTTTTCCTTCTGTTAGAAATCCTTTTAAGTTTGGTATTAAGATTTTGTAAAACAGCTTGGCCACATAGAATTGGCAGGGTGTGCTGCCAACCAGAACACCATATGAGAAACCAAACCTGCATCTCAGCATGGAAGGTGTGGTTGTACACAGAGAGAATTATGAAACTTGTCTGTTCCACATACAAAAACAAAAACAAGAAACCCCAACAAAACATATTTTTGCTTGATTTCAAATGAAAACATCATTTGAAAATTTTCAAAAAATCTATGTGTTACTTCTATCCCCTAATAGAAGTGGGAACAGAAATATAATTGGGAATCTAAATCTAAACGGGAACAGAATATAACTGGAAATCCATGTTCCCCAACTTGTCTGGCAGAGGAAGAAGATGCTCAAGCAAAGAGTCTGCAGCTGACAGGAGACTCACTTGCAACCCCAAGTACATGCCACCTTTCACAGAGGTCCTACTGTTGCGTGAGCTGTTTCTATTGAATACTAAAGCTTTCTCGCAGCTGCACACATGTGAAGATACAGGAGGTGGGCAGTTTGTGAGGCTGGTGGACTCAAGGTTCTTGTAGAAACTGCCATGGATGCTGGGGGTCTCAAGGCATGGAAGGAGATTAAGGTGGGTGACAAGCATACTGACTTCTACATAAAACAAAGCCACAGTTGGTCCAGTCTGCAATACACTTTGTTCACCTGGTCTCCATTCCTAAAATCATCAGTGTCAAATCAGTAAAACAGCAATTATAGTAATAACCCTTGATCTGGCCTGAGGAGCCAGTGAATGGACAGGCATGGCCTCTGGAATAACGGCCTGAGAAATCCACTCCAGTTCTATCTAAGCCTCTGCTTCCCATGTCAGGTAATTTTTTGCTTACAACATACGCAACAACCAGGTACAACTTCTGTGTGAAGAGTTGGACCTGCGCTCTCATTGCAAATGAAACATAAAGCAGCTGGGCAATTTGCCTAGGACCCAAGTAGCAGGTGGTAAAGCTGGAACCAGAATGTGGTTGACCTGTTACTCCCTCTAGACTCTTCACAGCTGTCCTCTTTCAGTTGGGAAAGCAGCATCTCAATATACCAAAACCAAAGTTCCTTTTGAATGCTGTCCTGCTTATTTTTCTGTGATTTTCGGTTCTGGCAGCAGCAGGTAATTTACAAAACCAGAGACAGAGGAGGGATATGAACCCTTGTCCTGGACTCCTGAGGGCTCTTTGCAGCTCTCAGTCGCCACTGGTCAAACCCACATCCACTGTCCCTCACTGATCTTAGTGGAAAATATTTTTGAGTTTTTTCTTTTTCTTTGTAAACTGATTGAGAAAACAATAGCAGGTTAAAAAACTCACACCTAGGACTTGCTCAAATCACTTCAGTATACACCACATCGTAGCAGTGCACAGACCACTGAAACACTCAGCTCCCTTTACTTTAAAGGTTTTCGAGGGGGTACAAAAGGCTCACCTCTGCACAGAAGGGGAAAGCAGAGCTGAGGAAAATACTGTGTCACTTTGTATGAGATGACCCTACACAGCAGTTAAAGTCTCCCCTGATGCAAATTAGCAGCATGGCAACATTCCAAACGGGTGAACACAGAACGGCTGCTGAACAGAAATTTCAATTCTCTGCTAAAACCCCAGAGCTGCAAATCAGCTCATTTTGAGTCATCCGTAGAAATGGAACAATGACCACTGGGCGTATCGCCCTTTCCTGCTATAATTTCAGCACAAATTTTGTTGTGAAATTGGGCTGTCTAAACCAGCCGTACTCTTTCTGAACTGTTGTTTATCACCTGGAAAACTGCCTAAAAATCAGGCCAGACAAGGAGTAAACTGATTATACAGATAAAGAAAAAGTTACACAGGAAGCATAACAACCACGGTGCTAAATGGTGCACTGTACTTTGTGGTGGGCACTGTCCTGTGCTTCCTTTCAAATTTTGTGCACTTGCTGATGCTGCTCTCATCCCAGTACCTCAGGACAACCTGGAACACCAGGAAGGTAAATGGTCTACCTCATGCAGTGGGTGAGAGAAGGTGCTCAACACTAACTTCTAAACCAGACACTTGGGACACACACTTGGTTGTGCTTATTAACTGAGGTCCAGCCAGATGGTGCTGAGATGAATGCTTCCTCAGATGAGATGGTGGGTTTTAAAAGGATACAGAGAACAGACTGAGGTAGTGTGGTCAGCCACACATTTTGATCAGCAGGACCCAAACACTTCACAATGCCAAGGATAAGATAAAGATTCCAAGACCCCATGAGAAAGGACAGGCCCTGAAAACAGCACTAGATGCCAGATGACAAGGGACTGAGTAAAAAGGCTCCCTCCTGTGAGCTCCACACCCTGCTCACAAGTCAAACACAAACCAGGACCAAGATATCTTCTGACATGGTCTTCTGCTTCCCAGACATACTTTCCCAGTGTTATGGCTTATATCTGTATGCCCCCCTCAAAGCCTCATGCACTCATAGATGGGGTTTTTTTGGAGGTGGCTGGATCTAGGCTGTGTGGTAACTAAATAGTTTTGGAGATGCCTGAGGATATCACAAGAATCAGCAGGACCTCAAAAAGTGCACTTTTGAAACCCAATGGTGAAAGACTTTGCTTTGAGAAGAGAGCCGCTGAATACCATGTTCTGGAATGGTGACAGTCTAGGGAATTTGTTCCTTCGGGCTGGGTTCACAGTGCTCAGCAACACAGTCACTCAACCCCTACAGTCAAGAGAGAAGGAAGCTTGGCTACTGCTCCAGCTGGCAGCAGTCCTCAGTGTCATCCACATGGTGCTGGCTCTAGGCACATGCAGAATGTGAGAGCTGTGGAGCCAGAAAGGCTTCCACCCAAATTTCAGAAGAAGGTCTGACAGGCCAGGCAGTGAGGCTCTAAGCATGAAGTGTGTAAAGCCATGAGTATGAAGTCAAAGGTGTGCTGGAGACCCCAGAATGTTGGGGAAGTCAGGAATTGCCTTGTCTGAGGAAAGTTGCAAGGAGTAAGCAGAGTTGGCCCAAAACAGAAGCTATGGGAGCTATAATCTCCAATAGTGCTGTAGGAATGGAGCCACCTAAGCTATTTGGAGTTCACATCATGTCACAGATTGCTCCAAATGCTGGACATGGAAGTATGGGACTTAATGTTTGCCCTGTTACCTTGCTTTGGTCCTGTTCCTCTCTATTCCCTTAACTGGAATGGCAATGTTCATCTTGTGCCATTGTATGTTGGAAGTGTTTAACTTTCTTTTCATTTGTACAAGGGCTCACAGCTAAGAGTTTGCCTTAACTCTCAGAGGAGACTTTGAACTCGGACTTTCTAGCAATGCTGAAACTGTTAGGACTTTTTCAACTCTTAAAGATGGACTAAATCCTTTTTGCATAAAGGGATGTGCACTGACACTTCTGGAAGCCAAGGGTGGAATATTATGATTTGTAAGTAGATGTCCCCCAAAGCTTCATGTGTTCACAGCTAGCTGGATCTAGGTGTGTGATTAAGGGTGTGTGGTACTCAATTAGTCCTCTGATTGGTTTAGCACAGTTCTAGGTGTGGATAATGAAAGGCCCACCCTGGGTGTGGGTGGCACCACCCAAAAGGCTGGTAGCTTGGATGAGATAAAAGGGAAAGGGAGCCTTGTTGCCTTCTGCCTACCTGCCATGGACTATTTGTCTTCTGTGATGGCTCTCTGCCATGCTGCCTCTCTTGGAGCCATGTGACAATGGATTAAAACCTCTATAAACTGTGAGCTGAAATAACTTTTCTTCCTTTAACTCTGGGTGTTGGGTATTTTGTCCTAGCAACAAGAAAGTAAGACACTTAAGGGCTCCTGGAAGATGAACCCCAGGAAAAAGAAGGAAATAGAGAACATACCAGAAAAACAAGAAAGGCTATTTCCAGGGCAGAGACAGTGTAAGACTCATGAAGGAAGGGACTTCTCTTCCTTAGGGACACAAGGAAAGAAAAACTGCTGGACAGATGAAAAGATGAGACAATTACCAAATCCAGGCAAGACAAAAAGAAGCGTAAAAAAGGAAGTATAAACATGGTGACCTATTAAATTAACTAAAGGAATTTACTTTTGTAATGAACACTATGTAATTCCACAACCCATACTTGGGTCGGATTACACTAGCAGGAGTAAAGCAGCTTCCACACTAAGAGTAAAGCAGCTAGGGTAATAGTTTTAGGGTGTGTGCCTGGCACTCTGGAATCACGACATGGTTATCCTCAGGGGCCAACCCAGGTAGTGTGGTAGTTTTCATTCTAAGCCTTTTAGCGCTTTTGGGTTTTGTATCAGATTAATATTAATTTGATAAACAAAATTTCAAAAGAAAATAGACTTACTTTGTAATATATCCCCTTCCACCATCTGATAGCAGCAGATAGAAATCAACAGAGTAAAACAGAAAGTCCATGAAACAGACTCAGACAAAGGACCTTCACTCAGGTTTCTCCCCACCTCTACTGCCTGTGACAAGGACACACCTGACACATCATTATCCATAACAAAGTACAGACCATGGTAATAACACACTGGACAGTGCCTGGCATCTCAGGGCCATTATACAGGCTGGGCCCTCCCTCCCTCACCTGGTACTGCGGATGCCTGCAGCACTCTTCTCACTGGATGAGGATGACCCAAGAGGTTGCTCCCTGTGGGCCCCTGGTGCCTTGGGCTTTCTGGGCCGAGGTGCCCTTTCCTGATCATCATCCTGTTCTTCTGGCTTCTTCTTCTCGCTGTCGCTGTCATCGCTGCCTTCTCCAAGGATGTCATCAACCTGACAAATGGCCAACAGTCAGTGGGTTTCCAGCTTTGTGAAGGATCTGTGTGACCCAGCCCTCCCCCGAGGAGGGACAGCAGCAGCTTCCCACTGTCCCCACCCAAAGGGGCCGTCAGTGCCACTCTATGGGCCAGATGTTTAGTTCTGCTTCCTACTAGAATGCTGGGATCTGAAAGGAAGCTAGGCCTTACATGAAAGCAGATGACTGCACGTACCAAGACTTAGTGCAGCACACCTGCAGTCGCACAGTCCCTGGGGAATAAGGATGGCAGCTTCCTGGTCATAGGTTTACATTCCTTCAGTGCACTGTACTGATGGATTTCATGTAACAGAGTGTTTATTTAAAATCCTCTGGATCAACGAGATCCATGACCATGAGAACATGCTTTCCTAGAACAGCAAGGGTCCTCAATCCTAGAGTCTGGGGTGTAGCTGTATTGCAGGCATGACCCTCCTGCCTGTCGGATCACTTGCTTTCTCTCCAATTTACCTCACATTTGGCATGTGCCAAAGTGATGGAGAGCAGGGCAGGCCCTAATACAGGGCACAGAAGAGTAAGCAGGAGGACAAGGAAATAGAATGTACAACAGATGAGAGAGAATAGGCAGCCAGCGGGCTGGTAATTTCAGAGAACCATACTCGGGTCTGACACTGCCAGAGGGCCTCCCAGAGCGCCAGCATCCAGGAAACAGGTGCATCATGACTCAGGTATGCAGGTGGAAGAGGCTCCTATGCACAGAATGTGGGTAGAACCAAGGCCTAACCTTGGTACTCTGGCCCCAGCCACTCAAGCTTTCACCTCCTTTCTTGCACTGCACAGAAATGGTGTGGTGTAGAAGGTGCAGAAAATAGAATGCACATGGCAGAGAGGATGAATCCAGCTATCCACCAGTGGGGGAAGGTTTATTTTATTTGCTGGTCTGATCACATAGCTAGAGGGTCCTGTTCATTAGACAGCTGGCTCCCATGGGGGGCACATCCCCTGGGGACTCACGTCTCAAGAGCCAAGCTTTGCTCCAAGCTCTCCCAGACCACAGGTAAGACAGCATAACCACGAGGGGCCCTGAGACAGGCAAGACAGTTATACAAGCAGTTTACTTTTATATCTCCAAGTATCTCCAACGAACCTTCTATGTGGCTAGCCGCTTGCAGCACACCCCAATCCAAAAATGGTATCAAACAACCTCACCAGCCCTTGTGCATAGCAGACAGTTGACCCAAGTGTATACTAATTTTCCCTCCTGCTGGAAGAGTCAGAGAAACACTTTGTACAGCCAAACCAAAACTGCAGATACATTCCAAATGTGACCCTGTCTCAGTTGTCCTTATGTCTGCTCCTTCTCTACATTTGACTCACATAAAAGTATCTGTTTAGGAATGACCCTATCTTTCTAAGGTTTTCACAAAAATAATTTAATCTTTTGGAAAAATAGTCACCTGTAATGAACTGTTAGCTTTATTTAAAAGTCACTAAGGACAGTTTCTTTAAACATCAAGGAAAAACTTAAAAAGTAAATAAACAAAGTAAACAAAATTTAATTTATACCGAATGAAGTCCTGAAATCTCTACCAAAAGGCAAATACTCATCAATGAAATGCTACTGTATCTTTTTTTTAATTTAAAGAAAAAAAAACCAATAACGATACAAAATTTCAAAACGAGATGATAGGAAATTAACAATGGTTATTATATTGCATATTGTTATCTTCAAAGTAGTTGCTCAGATTAGCAGATACAGGCATATCAAACTGATCAAACAATATAAGCACTAACGGTTCCTTTCAATAAATAGAAATCAGCAGTACAATTATCTCAACTATCTTTGTGTGTGTATATATTGTGTGTGCATATATATATATATATATATATTTTCCCTTCCTTCTTTTCTCCTTTCCCCTATCCACTTATTCTTTCCTTTTCAGCAGTTTCTCTCCCTTTCACAATATCTATTGTACATTTTGGATCTTATTTACTCTTTCGGTTTCTTACACTAGGGAGACAATACGTTTACACAGGCGGGTCTGATTTGCTTCACTTATGAGTATGGTTTCTAGCTGCATTCATTTGCCTATAAAAGCTGAGTAATAATCCATTGTATAAAAATATCACATTTTTAAAAGCCATTTCTTGGTTGATGGGCACTTGAGTTGCTTCCAAGATTCAGCTACAATAAACTGTGCTGCTGTAAACATGGGTGCACATATATCACTGAGGTATGATGTTTTCAATTCTTCTGGGAAAATATCTAGAAGGAGAATAGCTGGGTCAAATGGACCTCTAATCCTAGTTTCTTGAGGAATCTCCACACTGATTTCTAGTGGTTGCACTAGGCTACACTCTCACCAATGGTGGAGAAGGGTTCATTGTTCCCCACAGCCCAGCTAGCATGAAATGCTACTGTATCTTGTCAACACATGAAACACAGTGTCTCCATCAACCAAGCTGTAAGACGCAGGATCATGGAGAATTAACTTCACCACGGCTTCTGACTTGGGTAAGTGAGGTAAGATGGCTTAGAGAAAGAGTGGGGAAGGAAGACGTGGAAAGACACAACTTAGATGTAATAAAGTGAATGTTTAAAAAACAAAAGCAGAAGAGCTGAAAGGAGGCAGCGGTGCTCATTCAGCCACCCAGGCTTCATTTTAGCCTGCAGCTCAGCTGTTTCCTTTCCCTACCTTCCCGTTACCGTATTACAGAGGCACTCTGACAGACTTGGAGTCAGTCTCACTCTGGCCTTGTAGGCTGGGATCAACAATGGGTGAATGTGAGAAACACATGAATTAGCTGCTCTACATCAACTGTCAGAGGTGACAGGACATAGGACCTTCTTTAGAAAGCTACCACTCACATGAAGTTTAAGGAACGAATGTCTCCTAACTATGACATCCTATCACCTAAAAGTATTTGGAATCAATATAAATGAATTTCTCACCTTGGCCAAAGAACACTCATTGTCATCATTTTGATACTACAACTAAAAGCATTTATGGATGCATTAGAATTAACTTTCTCTAGAAAGTTTCCCAGTGACCCTGAAAAGAACAGAAAGAGAGCTACATAGAACCCTGTGGTCTCCAATTTACCTATCTTTAAACTGTGACATTGTGGGCACATGTTAACTCTGTGAACCAGGCTGTCCTTCTTGCTTCCTGAGGCTGCCCTGTTCCACTCTTATATAACAGTTTGACTCTGCTGTACCAAGCAATTCCTGAAACATGGGGCACGCCACTCACATTTCCCTTGCAGGTTAAGCTACAACTACCACTACCTCTTGTAAAACCCTGCAGCACAGTTTCATGACTGCTTAAACTGTGGGTCTCCCAGGTTGCAATTCCAGGAGGTCCCAAATATACTGTGTGTACTATTGCTTTGTCTTTTACTAGGTTGATTTTTATCTTGGCCAACAAGATTCTGTGCACTTTACACATAGAACACTGTCTGAACTGCTTGGGTGCAATTACTTGTGCGGACACCACCTGTGGTGGGCTCTTGCAGGAGTACCAGGAGCCATGATGGGTGCAGGAGCCTGTAAGTCTTCAAGGATGGCGTGAGGGATAGGCTAGATGTCTGTCACTCCTGTGATGGGTCCTGTCTTGGCCAACTGGAAGGGACTTTCTCATGGATTTCAGATGCCATGGAAGGAACAGCATTGATCCCTCAATGCCCTGGGACTACAGCAAAGTCTCTGAACTGAGGCCCTGGTCCCACAGCTGTAGGACTGCCACGGACTGCATGCAGCCTGAGAACCAGCACAGCCCCAGCCCCAGCCCCAGCCCCAGTCCCTGTGCCCAACCCGAGAAGCAGACAGACAAGAAATCACGGTTGTTCTACGTTGGTACATTTGCACTAACTTGTTCTGCAGCATACAGAAATAATACAGTGGCTAATATATATTTTGAAATGGAATCATAACAACTGAGAAGATATTTTTGTGAAAAGAAAGCACTTCAAAGCCAAAGAGGAACTTTAGTGACAAGTGAAGAAAACCTCAAGCTCGGAAAACAAACTTGAGGCAATCGGGAACTGCTCAGCAGGATTGAAACCTTCATGCAGATGCTGGGTGTAAGTAGTACACATGTTCCAAAAACGACTTACGCAAATGAAATGCTCTATAGCTCACCAAGAAGTTCTCTAGAGGGAGGAGGTGACAAATCTTTTATGAAACAAAAGATAATTATAATTTTTTTTACATACAGATTGGCATATGTAATACAAGTTTAATTCCCTAAAACTTCAGTAATCAAACTTCCAAGAAACATTCAAAGAGAGACCTCAGAGATATAAACATTCCTGCTAAACATTTATCACTTTAATTAAACAAAAATCCAAACTAAGTCTAAACACCTGATCTAAGAAGGATGAAGAACACTGTCATTTTTAGTCTCAGTTATTTTTTAAAAAATTTTTTGAGACATGGTCTTGCTATGTAGTTCAGGCTGGACTTGAACTCAGTATGTAGCTCACAATGGCCTTGAACTCACTGCAAACCTCTTGCCACAGTCTCCTGAGTGCTAGAAGAACAGGTGTGCGCCACCATGACCTGCTAGGCTCAGTTCTTAAAAGTGGATCAACAACTTCTATTGATAGATAATACAATTTATAAAATCATTCATAAAGGATTTTTGGTTAACCAGGGTAATTTGTAAGATCAAATCGTAATTGTGATTAAAAACCGCAAACTGACACAGAGAAACAGAATTACTACTGTTTAGTAAGAGAGAGTTCCCAAATATCACTGATATATATGTGTATGTTTTGAACATAATCTTCAGGTTTATAAACAGTATATGGTCACAGATAGGGGTTTAGCCCTTTAATTTCCTGGACAGATTCTAATCTATCATTGTCATCATAAAGTATTTGGAGAAGAAGGCCTGATGTGTTAGTTACTGGACAAACGATGAATTCAGTAAAATAAGCACTCTTAAAATTTTAACTTAAGAGTGTTACATAGGTATTAGGAAAGAAATAATTCTTATTAGGAACAGCTGGTTCC